GAACAGCGACAGAAGGAATTCATGATAGCATATAAAGCAGTAGAACATTTCTTTCACTTTCATAAAGGAACAGGAAATTGAAAACTGCCTTATTTCATACAGCGGTCTCATAAACAACTTCCCCAAATCTAATGATAGGGAGGTGCTAGTACTGTCCTCCCAACTGCATCATCACCATATCTTGTTTAGCAGACTTCTTGCAATGTTTAACACCAAACAACCATACATACAATCCTAGATTGTAAGCTGCAAGGAGCAGGGCCCTCCTATCCCTCTTGTATTGAACTGTATTGAAGTATATAAATACTGTATAATAATAATAATAATACAATACATAGCAAATGCTGCCAAGCCAGAACGTACAGTAAGCAATGCAGCAGGTATCTCCGTCTTATTCACAGAAAATCCAGAGGAAATGCTGATGTCATCAGAAGATGGAATGTGTAACATCATTGACTTTTCACTGAAAGTGATAAAGAAATGGCAAGGTAGCTAGAAACATGACTCTTGTGGGTGGATGAATTTACAGAGCAGCGGATATTTGTTTACAGCGACATTTTTACAGTTTCTGAATAGGTCTCATATCAAGAACAATATACTGTACATGTCACTGAAACAGGAGATTCTGATTCGTTCAATGCAGGGAGGTTAGTCTCATATATACAGTATAAATATATATTATAATTATTATACAGTATTTATATAGCGCTAAAAGGTTTGCTCAGCGCCAGGGGCGGACTGACAACTCATGGGGCCCCCGGGCAAAAAGGGATCATGGGGCCCCTGTGTCCTTGCCCAAACTCAAAAAAGCCTATGAAAAAGGTACCAGGGGCATATCATGGGGCCCCCTACTGACCCCAGGCCCTCGGGCAGTGCCCGAGTTTCCAAATGGTCAGTCCGCCCCTGCTCAGCGCTGTACAGTATATATACACACATTAGGGATGCACTGATACCGGTATCAGTATTGGTGCCGGTACCGAGTATTTTCATGAGTACTTGTCCTCATGAAAATACTACCGATAGCTTAACCGATACTTTACGGTGCAAATTGAGTTAATGGACGCAAATGGTACCGCAAAGATTAGAATGAGATTTGAACAGAAACATTCCTGTTCAAATCGCATGCTATTCTTTGCAGTTCAATTTGCATCCATTAACACAAATCGCACCGCAAAGTATCAGCACTCGGTATCGGTGAGAAATGCGATTCCTGTCCAAATTGCATGCGGTTTGTCCACTGCTCCTGTGTGATCCCAGGCTTGTCATAGCCCGAGTTCACACACCTCCCTGTAGGCATCCCCTGATGAGTGTCAGTGGTAGGAAAGGAGAGAAAGCAGCGGGGATTTGCCGCTTTCTTTTCTCCCCTTGCAGTGATGACAGTTTGGCTAGACAGCATCTGATTGGTTAGCAGCTGAGCCAGAGTCCCTGTGTGAACTCGGGTGATGACAAACCTGGGTTCACACAGGAGCAGTGGGGAAAAAGCATGCAATTTGGACAGAGACTGCATTCCTGTTCAAATCGCATGTTATTATTTGCAGTCAATTTGTGTCCATTAACATAAATCACACCGCAAAGTATCAGCACTCGGTATCGCTGAGTATTTTCCGGTGCATTGGTTCATTTAAAGCTGCAGAACAGTTGCAAGCTTCCTACCTCTTCATCCAGTGCAATGGTAATTAATGTCCTCTTAAACAGGTGCAAATAAATACGGACACAAAGCAGTGGTCATACAACAGCGGTGAACTGATCACTCCTCACTGTTTACTCGAAGTGCCCGGTCATATCAGTGCGATTTATCATGTGATTTGATAGTTTCAAATTTCCTGACAAATCACGCCCTATTGTCCGCAATTGAAGCGGTCATATCAGTGCGATTCCAACTTCATCGGAGTCGCACCGATTTTGATAGTAGAGCATGCACTACTTTTTGCACTTTCAGGTGCAACTTGCATAGATATTGGTGTCCTGCAAGTCGCACCTGAAGTCAGACTGACATCCGACTCTGAAATTGTGTGACTTCACTGGAAGTTGCACAATTTCAAAGTTGGACTGGAGTGACCGAAGACTTAGGGCGCATTCACACACAGTCCCGCAATGTAAAATTGCTGTTCAGCAATTTAAAACAAAGTAAAAGAAAACAAAACAGGTGTCAGGAGGCAGCAGTAGCGCCTCCTGAATGGCTATCAGTGGCTGCAGTCCTGCCCTCCAAAAAGTGATCAACAGTGTATTGCTTTTCAGAGGGCAGTAAGCTTATCAACTATCTGAAGGAACCTTAAGGACTTATTCACATTGGCGGCAGTGCTTACTGCCCTCTGAAAATCAATTTGTAATGGATTGCCTTTCAGAGAGGGGTACTGGGGTGCATGGCAGGCATTCAAAAGGTGATTCTGCAGCCTCCTGAATGCCAGCTTTTGTTAATTCCAAGAGTAATTTTGTATTAAAATATCTCACTACAACTGAGCTGAGTATTCAGATCATGATTGCACTGCACTCCCATTGACCGCAGTACAGCCTGTCTGGCTCAGCCACCTGTTTTTATCATTGCCTGTGTGAAGGAGTCCAGAATTAACTCATAAAAGTGTAATGAATGAAGGCTATGTTTACTCTTGTGTTTGGGGGAGCAGTAAAAACAGGTGGTTGAGCTTTGTTTTTACCTTTTGCCGACTGCTCTCTCTACACTGCAATGGCATCCAGATGGGCCATCCAGCCCAGTAAGAAGTATACCCCCTGTCATGCTCAGTGTCGCCTGCTGAACCCCACCAATTCATATGAATGGGGCTGCGCCGCAACCACCCCTGCAACCATGTGCAATGCACATGACTGCGGCATGGTGGCGCAGGTTTTTATGGGTCTTCAAAGGGCAATGCTAATGTAAATGAGCTCCCAGGCAAAAGCAGACTATATAAACAATCCATCCAAAATATCATGGATTACCATGTGTAAACTATCTATTTACATCAAACAGGTTCCTCAAGTACTGCTTTGCAACCACAATTGGTTTCCATTGCAGAAATCTATAGAAACAAAGTCTCACAGCTGTCATCCCATTCCTGTTGTCTTGCCAACTAAAACAAGTCTGAAAAATGACGGATTCAGTGTTAAATCAAGAGATACAAATCCCTGGCATTATTCAACTCTAGTGACGAGCCGAACACCCCCAGTTTGGTTCGCAGTCGAACATTCAAACCTACCGAAGGTTTGACCGCAAACTTCAAACAGGGGCAATTCACGAAGCAGTATCTTACCACATCTGAGTATGCAGTAAGATATCGCACAGCTACTAAAATACTGCATGAGCTATATTATTAAGTCATGCGGCATTTTAGTAGTGAAGACATTCTTTAATATTTCAGCTGTCGGCGGGCTTTCCTGTCGACAGCTGAATGTAAAAAGAATTGCCAGCATGGCCTGGTAATGACATTTTTTTTTAAAAACGGCGTGGGGTCCCCCCTCTCATTCATACCAAGCCCTTCGGGTCTGTTATGGATTTTGAGGGGAACCCCCACGACAAAATTTTTTTAAAACATGGTGTGTGGGTCCCCCCGAAAAACACATACCAGACCCTTATCCGAGCATGCAGCTCGGCAAGTCAGGAAAGGGGGCAGGTGAGCGAGTCCCCCCCCCCCTCCTGAACTATACCAAGCCACATGCCCTGAACATGGGGGGTGCTTTGGGGCAGGGGGGCTCCTCCCCAGAGCACCCTGTCCCCATGTTAATGGGGACAAGGGCCCCTTCCCCACAACCATGGCTGGTGGTTGTGGGGGTCTGCTGGCAGGGGGTTTATTGGAATCTGGAAGCCCAACAAGGGGGCCCCCAGATCACACCCCCCATGTGAATGAGTATGGGGTACATGGTACTGCTACCCATTCACAAAAGAAAAAGCATAGTGTAAAATTGACAGTAGACAATCTTTGGCAAGTCCTTCATTAAAAATAAAAATGTTAAAAAAAATGTAAAAAATGTCCCCTGAAGTAGATCCAACGTCAACGATGCCAGCCTCCACCACAGACCCAAAAAAAGAAAAAATGCTGGCTCCCGCCATCTAACAGCTGCGCCAGGATGACAGTTCTTCAATACTATGATGATGTCAGAAGGGGGTGGGGTCATCCCCACCCCCTTGTGACATCATCATGTGATATGACTGGCCAAAGCATTGTACCTGACCTGTGTTCAGGTGAATTGCTTTGGCCAATTACAATGCACTGTCAGGGCACAGTGCATTGTGGGGCGAACGCCAAATGCCCTCACCGTTCATCTGTTCGCCAAACACACAAATGGCCCGTGTTCGGGTTGAAAGCATTTTCAATTTTCAAGAAATATTGGTATTATTTATCAGAGGTATATTTTTGATATCCCTGAATCAGAACATATATTAATTCAAGTTTTTCATCCAAATGGCGCCAAGCCCGAACGTACAGTAAACAATGCAGCAGGTATCTCAGTCTTATTCACAGAAATTCAGAGGAATTGCTGCTGATGTTATAAGAAGATGGACAACGCCATTGACGTTTCACTTTGTGGCACTACCCCCCTCAGGGGCCGCTGCGTAAGTTTCGGGTTCTCTGTCTTTCTTGACCCCACTCTGGAAGCCCAACCCTTGCAGACACCACCTTAAACCTCTGGCCAGAAGAATCCTCTGGCTGCAACTGTAAAAAAAGATTCACACACAGCTTAGAGTGAACTAATATTTTGGGTGTATTGAGATCAAATGTAGGCACATTATAGAAACAGGAAAATATGTGCATAAGATAACAGCTGTCACTCTAGTAACTTCAAGTAAAAGTCACAACTAGAGATGAGCGAATTATTCAAAAATTCGATTCGACTGATTCGGCGAATTTGTGAAAAAATTTTGATTCGAGTCGAATATATTCGCTGCGAATTTAACTTATAAAAGGGTGTTTCTAGGCTTCAGAGAGTCTTTATATTAGTGCAGAACACTGTACCTTTAATTTAAATGCCCTTGGAGTCTGCTGGGGAAGAGAAATAATACTGACAGTCAGTATGACATGCAGATGAGTGCCGTCGATCTTAGAATCACCGCACACTTCACTCATTTGGGCAGTCACGGGGCCAAAACCAGAGTGTGGAGCCACAGTGTGGCGGTGGAGGCAGCAGCAATGGGAGGCCATACAGCACCCTATGACAAAAATGGAAACCACCAGCAGTGTGAGGAGACCTGAAAGTGGCACATGGCAGAGTGTGGCGATGGAGACAGCAGCAATGGGAGGCCGTACAGGGACCCATGACACACTCTGGACCTGGCAGCAGCATGAGGAGGCGGTACAGGGGCCCATGACAGATTACGGGCCTGGCAGCAGCATGAGGAGTCGGTACGGGGGCCCATGACACACTCTGGACCTGGCAGCAGCATGAGGAGGCGGTACAGGGGCGCATGACAGATTACGAGCCTGGCAGCAGCAACTTGGACAGGAGGACGTTCAGCTTCTGCACCGTCGGGTGCGTGCTCGCAAACTGTTGTCTCTTGGAAATGGATTCCAAGAAAGACTGCTGACGGAATCCGTGAAGAGGAGTAGCAGGAGAAGGAGCATCTGAACGAGCGGAATATGCCAACAAGCGACAACAGGGGCCCATGACAGATTACGGGCCTGGCAGCAGCATGAGGAGTCGGTACGGGGGCCCATGGCAGATTACGGGCCTGGCAGCAGCAATGGGAGGCCCGTAATCTGCCAGCACCCTATGACAAAAAATGGAACACACCAGCAGTGTGTGAGGAGACCTGAAAGTGGCACATGGCAGAGTGTGGCGATGGAGACAGCAGCAATGGGAGGCCGTACAGGGACCCATGAGAGACTCTGGACCTGGCAGCAGCATGAGGAGGCGGTACAGGGGCCCATGGCAGATTAGGGGCCTGGCAGCAGCTATGGGAGGCCCGTAATCTGCCAGCACCCTATGACAAAAAATGGAACACACCAGCAGTGTGAGGAGACCTGAAAGTGGCACATGGCAGAGTGTGGCGATGGAGACAGCAGCAATGGGAGGCCGTACAGGGACCCATGAGAGACTGTGGACCTGGCAGCAGCATGAGGAGGCGGTACTGGGGCCCATGGCAGATTAGGGGCCTGGCAGCAGCAATGGGAGGCCCGTAATCTGCCAGCACCCTATGACAAAAAATGGAACACACCAGCAGTGTGTGAGGAGACCTGAAAGTGGCACATGGCAGAGTGTGGCGATGGAGACAGCAGCAATGGGAGGCGTTCAGGGACCCATGAGAGACTCTGGACCTGGCAGCAGCATGAGGAGGCGGTACAGGGGCCCATGGCAGATTAAGGGCCTGGCAGCAGCAATGGGAGGCCCGTAATCTGCCAGCACCCTATGACAAAATGGAACCCTGGGCT